TGAGACTGGGGACTATGAGCTGTTCAAACAGGCCTTGCTGCTGAAGTCTAAGCTGACCCCTGAGACAGGCAGGACACGGTTCTGGGGCTTGCGCAAATCTCCAGGTGTCACCTACAAGGAGGTGGCCAAGCTGTTGGGGGAATATCTCCAGAGGTGGGGGAAAGGGGCTGGGGCCACCACTGCCAGGGACGCGTACAACCTGGCAGGACTGGAGCAGTTATATGACATTTGCCCCCCAGACCTCAAGGTGTGGTTGGCCAACCAAAAGCTCAAAGACCTGTGCAGTGCCAGGACACTGGTGGACAAGTTTGTGGCCAGCAGATGAGGGACAGGCGGGAGACCCACACCAGGATCGCAGAAGGGGAGTCACCTGGAGACCCAGCCCAGTCCAGGGGGACCTCAGAGTCCCAGGGCAGGACAAACCCCATGGGACTTGAGGGACCTGAAATGCAAATTTAAGCATGAATGACAGTTCAGAGGATTCTCTTTCAAGTCTGGCAACGGGATTTGTTGCAAGGGAAGGTACCAGGGTTGGTATTAGTGTGGTATGTCCTGTGGTTGTTGGTAAGAATCATCTTGAGGTTAGGTGGTTGTCTAGAGGAGACTATGGGTCTGTCTCCCAGAGCCTCTTGGAGTATGGTATCCTGTTCCAGTATAGGCTGTAGTTTATTGATGATGTGTTGGACAGGTTTAAATTGGGGGTTGTAGATGATGACAAGTGGTGTTCTATTGTTGGTTTTCTTGGGTCTGTTTTGAAGTAGCTGGTTTCTAGGTATTCGTCTGGCTCTTTCAATTTGCTTTTTTATTTCTCCGGGTGGGTAGTTGAGGTTTATAAATGCTTGATAGAGATCCTGAAGCTTCTGGTCTCTGTCAGTGGGATTAGAGCAGATGCGGTTGTATCGAATTATAAATCTCAACTACCCACCCAGAGAAATAAAAAAGCAAATTGAAAGAGCCAGACGAATACCCAGAAACCATCTACTTCAAGACAGACCCAAGAAAACCAACAATAGAACACCACTTGTCATCACCTACAGCCCCCAACTTAAACCTGTCCAACACATTATCAATAAACTACAACCTATACTGGAACAGGATATTAAACTCCGAGAGGCTCTGGTAGACAGACCCATAGTCTCCTATAGACAACCACCTAACCTCAAGATGATTCTTACCAACAACTACAGGACATACCCACACTAATACCAACCCTGGAACTTTCCCTTGCAACAAACCCCGTTGCCAACTTTGTCCACATATTCACTCTGCTGATACCATTATTGGACCTAACCAATTGAGTTAGAGGATCAAGAACACATATTCCTGCTCTTCCAGAAATATAATTTATGCTATCATATGCCGACAATGTCCGTCTGCATGTACACTGGACAAACATCTCAGACACTTCGCCAAAGGATCAATGCCCACAAAACAGATATCAGACAGGATCAAAGAAAAAACAGTTTCTTGCCATTTCAACCAGAAAGGACACTGTCTCAACGACTTGATTACCTGCATCCTACTTCAAAGACATTTTAACACCAGACTTGAAAGAGAATCCTCTGAACTGTCATTAATACTTAATTTTGACACTTTACGCCTAGGTCTTAACAAAGACACTAATTACCTTACCCATTACAAAGATAGCTTCCCCAATTATCATCTCTAATATCATTAGCTCACAGACATTTACCTCCCCCCCCCCATCCTCCTTCTGTTCTGAAATGTGATTTGTCCTTTTCATATGTGTTCATTTTTTTGATTGTATCCTTTGGTATATATGGTTGTGCCAATTTTCTTCCACTATTTGATCTGAGGAAGTGGGTCTGGCCCACGAAAGCTCATCACCTAATAAACCATCTTGTTAGTCTTTAAAGTGCTACATAGTCCTGTTTTTTGTTAACAGGAATACTGAGTGGTAGAGACAAAAAGTAATTCTTTCACTCTAGTCTTCACTGATTGGACCTCAGATGGAGTACTGTGTCCAGTTCTGGGCATCGCATTTCAAGAAAGATGTGGAGCAAGGTCCAGAGAAGAAATTGGAGTAGGCCCAGAGAAGAGCAACAAAAATGATTAAAGGTCGAGAAGACATGATCTATGAGGGAAGACTGAGAATTGGGCTTTAGTTTAGGAGACTGTGGGGGGACGTGATAGTTTTAATAACACCATAGTGAGTAGTGGTACAGAGATGGTGTACGGCACCAAGAGAAGCTGTGTTGGCATCAGACGCTGCAGCCTGGAAGATTAGCGTCTTGTCCTGGAGTCATGATCAGATTACTGTTGCCAGGAGGGCAATGATGGTGGAGAGAGCAGCACCACAGCTGAACATGGTGCAGACTGGTGGATCCATGAGCTGTATCTGAAGCGCATCCAGGATTGAATGGCCCCTCGAATAGGAACATCTATGAGCGGTGGACCAATGCTGCAAGTTGGATCGTTGGCACCCCCAAAAGCAGTGCCAGAACTCAAAGCAGTGGTGAGAGTCCAGTGGCAGGTCCCTGCAGTGCCAGGTGGCGGTTGGTCCACAATACTAGGTGACCTGTAGGCCATGATCTCAATGAAGGCCCTAGAGCCTTGGAGGTGTCTGAAGTAGAGGGACCAACTACTTCTCTATCTCAAGGGTCAGCAAGTCCAACACCATGAGGCTACACTTTTGTGGGGTATCAGCATTGGATTGGTCCTCCCGTGCAGTGCAGTGGTGGGACCTGAAGAAGATGGTGTGTATGGAGCCGAGGGTATGTTCTTCAGCTGTTTGTCCCACTTGGCTGGAGAGTGGGAGCGGTGCCGGGACATTGCATGCTTCGGTGCCAGATAGCGTAAGTGCCAGCCCTAACAGGCTGGAACTCTTCCTCATGGGGATCTTGGTCTCACCAGAGGGCCACTGAGGACTCACTCCTGGGACTTGTTGGGGCTGAAGAGCCAACTCCATGAAGAGCTGTTCTAAAGTCTCACTCCTTCCTGGTCTGCAGTTTAAAGGATTTGTTCATCCTGCACTTGTCCAATTGATTGGATTCCCCTAGGCACTCAAGACGTGTGATGGGGGTCACCAGTAGGCATAGGCTTAGCTCAGGAACTGCACTGCTTGAATCTGTGGGACTTGAGCATGCCCTGGGTTCCAGAGGAAATGTAGATGGAGCAAGCCCCCATACACACGTGCCAAACGAGATACACTGGAACACCTACAAGAAGCAACTGCAAAAAAACTATGAACTATTAGTTGAGGAAAATCACCTCAGCCCCAACAACCATCACTGGTGGTAAGAAGGACCTGAGGGACAGTCAGGTCAGTGCCACACTGATGCCACTCCAGGGGCTCCACAGCCAAATGGACAGTAGTTGCTAGGGTACAAAGTTTCCCACAAACACGCACACACCTGAACAGAACAGATATGAGCAAGCACTAGAAGAATTCGGCGAAGTTGCTTTGGGGTGTCCTAGGAGTCCAGATGGGAGCAGTGACTAGAGAATGCCTCAATTCTGTAACTGGAAAGCCAGTGGAGAGGGAGTGTGGGAGGGACTGAGACACTGAGAATGGGGAGCGGTATAACAAATGTGGAGGGGTCTGGAAGAGTCAGAAGTGTGGGACTCTGTGCTGCGGAGCAGCAAGCTGGAGCCTGAACCTGCCACAGGGGCACTGTAACGGCCGTTCCCCTTCACACTAAGTGCAACACCCCCCACTTTTCACATATTTTCCTTCAAAGGTCACCTCGCAGCACCAAGTCCTGGCAACTTCCCTTTTGGTCTTGGCACTGCTCCAACAATGGGCAACTGACATCAGTGCCAACTTCCCCCCTTTTGAGTAACTTTACTGAACTTCAATGAAAACTCTTCTAAAAATCTTTAAACAGTTTATTAAACACTAAGGGCTCGTCTACACTGGCCCCTTTTCCGAAAGGGGCATGCTAATTTCACAGGTCGTAATAGGGAAATCCGCGGGGGATTTAAATATCCCCCGCGGCATTTAAATAAAAATGTCCGCCGCTTTTTTCCGGCTTTTAGAAAAGCCAGAAAAGAGCGTCTACACTGGCCCCGATCCTCCGGAAAAAAGTAGGAATAAGAGATCCTCAAAGTAGGAATAAGAGATCCTCCGGAAAAGGGCTTTTTTCCGGAGGATCGGGGCCAGTGTAGACGCTCTTTTCTGGCTTTTCTAAAAGCCGGAAAAAAGCGGCGGACATTTTTATTTAAATGCCGCGGGGGATATTTAAATCCCCCGTGGATTTCCCTATTACCACCTGTGAAATTAACATGCCCCTTTCGGAAAAGGGGCCAGTGTAGACGTAGCCTAAGATTTCAAGTTAAAAGTTATGTGGAATGCTATAATCAAAGCTGACCAGAATCACACCACACTGACTGCAAATCACAATTGTATCATTTAGTGCTATAACAGTAAAATACAAGTTCACTGAAACATCTTAAACTTTTTGTTAGATGGTTCCTGCAACCTCAAAGGGCACTGTGCACCCATTTTACAAGGGGCCTGTGACCACTGCATCTCCAATTAGGTAGGCTAATCTTAACATGTACCCTGAAAATAGTCTCTAAACACATAAGGAATTGGCTAGGGTTAGCATTTGCACGAGGGATTATCCATTCAGTTGTGTTTAAATATCCTGGTTATTTGGAATCAGCTAGAAACATAGAGGATTTCTTTGACTGACCAGGAGGGCAGAATGAGGACAGTGCTGGGTTGAGAATTTCCATAGTTGTTGGTTCCAAAATAGCTCTGAAGCCAGGGACTCCCTAGGAACATACAGACTGTGGTCCTGCCTTTCCTATGGAAATGATGGGAACCAAGTTTGGTAGCACTATTACATTGGAGTGCAAGTAATGTCATGTAACTAGGAAGCACTCCTGCATGTTCTGTATTTCTCCAATATCATTGGATATACATGCTCTTGTGGTCCTGTGTGTAGGATTTTTCATTACAACATAAAGTGCTGCATTTAACAAATGGCAAAATAAATTAAAGCAGGACTAAAAACAGATTAAAAATACTTACATTTGAACAAATGATCTTTTATTCAGATGAGAAATACATACACTTTATAAGCAAACAATAGGCCAAACCATCTAGTTTTTTTAAAGGAATTTAAGCCCAAGAGAAATACAAGGATTGTGAGAGCAGGGAGAGGCAAAAGGAAAAGCTAGGACACCAATAAATAAAACAACACTTACAGAATTTCAGTGCTGAACTTGGATCTTTCTTCCAGAGTTTCTCAATTCTTTTTAAAACTCCTACCAAATTACACACTATTGTTTAACTAAAATTGGCACACCTGTTCCCATAAACTGTTTCACTCTTTTACTACCTAGTTGTCTTGTCACTTTGCACCAAAAACTATTTTCAAATAGGTACTGGCTGTTTTTCTAAATAATCCAAGTATCTTTTCCTCATAGGTATCATGATATGTTCTTAGAACAGCCTCACTAACATGTCTCATTAGCTATTCCATGAATCCAGAGTGGGTTATAGCAAGGAGGCAGCCATGCAGGTATCTGGGAAGTAGCTCTTTTTAAATAGAGAGACATCCATTTCTTTTGTTTAATAGCTGACAGGGTTTTAGGGTTTTATTCCTAGTGAATATCTGGAAATGGCCTATTGTCACCTTTTCATCCCTAACTAAAAATAAATTAGATTTAAACCCCTTCAGTTAAATAGTAGTGGGGACAGGTAGATACAAGTCAAGACTTTTATCCTGACACTGTCCTGATGCTATTTTGGGTGGGAAGTAAAATTCCTATTTTGGGGTTCTCCTTTCTCAGGGCAGAATTTCCCCTATTTGGAATTTCCTGGCTGTGGTCAGTTTTACATCCAAAAGGAAAGTCGCATCATCTGTTCTTTTTATTATGCTAATACTGCATGGACCACGAGAAAATCTGTTTGTTACTGTTTGCATGGCAGGGTTTGTCACAAAGTAGAGTCATATAGTAGTAGCCTTTTAAAAGATGGTGGGAAACAAACTGACTCCATCCCTAGAGGTTTTTAAGTCCCAGCTTGATAAAACCCTGGCTGGGTTGATTTAGTTGGGGTTGGTCCTGCTTTTAGCAGGGGGTTGGACTCGATGACTCCTGAGGTCTCTTCCAACCCTAGGATTCTATGACTCTCAAGGCAGCAAGACAGTTTTCAAACATTAGTAACTGGTTTCATTTTAAAAAACCACTAACATGGCCTGCTCTTTGATGAAATAATAAAATCAAAATTATTTGAAATAAGCCAATGAGGGATGTGCATGTGTGTCTAAGAACAGAGACTTTACTTAACCTGCACTCTGGAAACATAAAACAGTTATATTTAATACCCCTCAATTCTTTACAGCAGAGAATGTGAGCAACAAAAGTTTGTTTCCAGCTAAAATTAAGTTAATGAAGATCAGAGTTCATAATGGCCTTTTGCATTTCTGTTAGGTATAGAAATATACAATAGTAAGTGAATATCTAAGTAGTAAAGGAAACAGTAAGGCATTTGCTCAGGTACATTTGGTAAAATGTAAATAATTTAGCAGCTCAGTCTACTTAAGGCAGAGAAAATTCCCTTTGGCAAGTCTGCAAGTAGATGCTAGTGTATAATGGCATCAGGTACAGATACACTGGACACTAAGCTAACAAGATACTTTTTCTGTAATACTCTAAAGGCTTCTCAAGCAAAACTGTGCAACTTTTCTCAACTGATTCAAAAAGCACTCTCCCCCCCCCCCTTAAAAAGGCTGCTTTTCTTCCTTAGGCATTAGCATACCCATTCCTTGTTTCCTCCCAGGACAATTTGTATACTAGTAAGGCACCTTTAAGGGAAACAAATATTGGAAAAAAGGATTATTAAGGATGTTCTACATGGCTACAATAATGCACGTGTAATGATAATTCAGCAACATTCATGACATTGAAAGCCATCTAAGACTCTGCTGCACTAGTCCCATTCATTTAACAATCATCAGATCACCCTCTTCCCCCAAAGCTGGCACTGAAACTACCTGAGCAACCTGGTCATTGACCACTTTTAATGTGACACAGTTCTGTGACAAAAATCTATTCTTTTTCCCACTGTTTGAAGACAGAACTACATCTATACACTGCATTACATGCTAAAATCTAACTCAGTTCAGTCATCTAGGTAGTGTGCCCTCGGTAATGGACACTACTACGGACAAAGTCAGCAGGTTATATATATTCCCATTTCTCTGTGCTACGGCATTTCTCTAAGTTGGTGTCCTGTTGTGTTTCCTTAGAATTTCAGAGAGAGAGTCCAAATAAGAACTGCAATCCTTTTCTGCTTCGAGTTAAAGGCAGACCTGGATGCTCTGCAGTTCCAGCTTTCTTCTACAAGTAACAAGCCCCACCCATCCATACAGCTCGGCAAAAAACACACCCAGAAGCCCAAAATATATTTTAACAACTGTTTAATCCCCAGTGCCACTGGAATAGTTCATGGAAAACATTCTAAACTAAATGCTTCAAGGAATCTGAAAAGTCAGAGAAAAGAAAATCATAGCAGTAAGACGTATGGAGTCTCTGTGGACTCAGGACTAATTCAATGACAGCCTAGTCCTCCTTGTAGTTTGGGCAGAGAGGTACATCAATATATAGGTGTCTTTGCTTCGGACAGGTAAGAGAGGACATTAAGAAACAGAGATGCAGTTTTTCCATTCATCTCCCTTTTCATAGCTCCTCCAGGAGATGCCTATTATTTCCCATAGAACTTTTTGTTCAGAAGGAAGATCAGGAGGTTGACATTGACTTTTGCCCTGTCAAACAGCTTCATGACAGCAACACCTTCATACTGCAGCTGCAAAAGATCCTGCCACAGAAAACACATTGATTAGTGAGAAAACCACAGAGGCCGAGTACGAAAGGGCTAATTTACAAGATACAAATGCAAAACAGGTTTCTGAAGAATACCAGTGAGAGTCTATAAAATAGAATCTTGGGAGATTAATCCTTAAAGACTCATTGATTCAGCCTGGAAAATATGAAAAATATCCTATTAATAGTTCTGATTAATTAATTTTATGATTTTTTATTAACAGGAATATTTAAATGAAAACTCTTACGCGCTCACCTTTGTTTAAACAATCTAAAAAGACCACATCAATCTAAATCTAAACAGTCATTTCCAGACTCTTCATTCATGTGACCATCATACAACCTCCATAACCCTAGATAGAGCCCTTCCTCTCCTCATATACTTCCATTTCACAGCCATAAAATATAGGAACATATGGCCTGATTTTCCAATAAGATAAACAGCCACTACTCCCACTGAGCTGACTTAGGCACTGAGATTTAGAGCAGAACAACAGGGAAAGCTTCCCAGCTAAGGCACTCAGTCAAAGATCGGTCTCTCTTCCATTGCTCCCCCAACGGTATCCCTCCATCAGAAATCTGCAGAGCACTTACATGGACATTTGCACTTATTTTTGCAGCACATTAGGTCATCTCTGGGCAGGACTCAGCTTCAGAGCCAGATTTGGTGCAGGGAGGCTCTAGCCTGAGTGGAGTCCAGGAAAGCCCCAATTAGGAATGCTAAGTAACGATTAATTTGTTAGCCAAGTGTTCAGAACGAGCCTGCTTCAAGTGGTTCATACAAATGCCATGTACTCTAGCACCTGCACTCAAGATCACCTTTAATGAGCCAGCTGTCCAGGAACAGGAAGACCTGTACTCAGGATTTATAAAGGAAGGCTGCTACAACCACCATGCACTTTGTGAACATGCATGGGGCCAGTGAAAACCCTTCTGAGTGGTCTCGGGACTCTGCCTCTGTTGGCTTCCCTTGCCTCAGGGATCTCTCTCTCTAGGCTAGAGAAGGAGAAACAACGCTGGAGTCTTCTTGGTCCTTCTCATCCTCAATGAAGGTGTTGAGGTGTAGTAAGGCATTTGATACAGTCTTGCGTGGCCTTCTCATTAAGTAAGGAAATACAACCTAGATGGGGCTACTATAACATGGGTGCATCACTGGTTGGATAGCTGTTCCCAGAGAGTAGTTATCAATAGTTCAGAGTCATGCTGGAAAGGCAAAACAAGTGGTGTTCCACAGGGATCAGTTTTGTTTAATACTTTCACCAAGGATTTAAATAATGGCATAGAGAGTATGCTTAAATCTGCAAATGATACCAAGGTGGGAGGGGTTGAAAGTGCTTTGGAGGAAGAGGTTATAATTCAAAATGATCTGGACAAACTGGAGGAATGGCCTGAGGTAAACAGGGTGAAATTCAGTAAGGACAAGTGCAAAATATTCCACTTAGGAAGGAACAATCAGTTACACACACACAAAATAGGAAATGACTACGTAGGAAGGAGTACTGCAGAAAGGGATTTAGGAGTCATAGCGGACCACAAGTTGAATGAGTCCGTGTGTGTGTGATAGGAGAGGGGAGGAAGTTACCCTGCACTAGAGTGTAAAGTCTTGGAACAGCCCTGGGAGAAAACTGATCCCAAGAGCCAATCAGAAGACGGCTTGAGGCAGGCAATCAGAGCTCCGGTAATGTAGGGGAGACATTAGCCAGAAGAAGCTAATTTCCAGAACAACCAGCAGGAGTCACCATGGCAAGGAATAAAAGTGCACTGCAGTGGGACACTGTTGAAAAAAAGCAGCAAAACAAAACCGGAAAAGAAAGGGAAAAAATTCAAGGGAAGCTAAAAAGAGCAAATGTAAAGGGAGTTACTGATTCACAGACAGCTGTAGCGCCATCTCTAGGTTTCTAATCCGGGTAATTAAGAAGGAACTGAAGAGGGACTGCCCGCACATAATGGTTGGCCTCATGGCAGGCAGGGAGCAGCGCATGGATGGGATAGACAGTTACCAAAACTCTCTAATCAGCAGAGCAGGGATGTGGATGCACCTACAACGGAATAGAAATAGGGACAAGACTTAAAGAAGAACATGTTGTTTTCAGCCTTTTGAAAACAAATCTATCACACTAATCTGGAAGGCCCTTGATCTTTTAGGCCGGGGTGGGGAATATTTTTGGGTCGGGGGCTCAGGAAAATCAGTCAAGGGCTGCACACGTGAGAAGCAGAACCACCCCAAAGCAATGTGGCCTCTGATGGAGGAGAAAGACACTCTCCACATTCCTCTCACACAGCAGAGCCTAGGAGAGCCCAGGAAGACCATCGTCAGTCCCACAAGTCTCAGGGGCCAGATCTAGGCAAGCTGAGGGCTGCCTCCGGCCCAGCCGGAGGTTCCCCACCCTGTTTTAGGCACTGGAATGATGATCAAACTCTGATTTCTTGAATATTTGTCATCAAGAAAAATAATTCATCTGCAAGCAAAAGTTGCAGCTTTCCAGGAAAAGCCAAGTTTCCTCACCTCAAAGACACAGGTTCACTTCATAGACCAAACATGAGATGCCTCACAGTTAATGCCTATGCTATAAACAACACTGGATAAACAGGTCATTAAATATTTCTACTTTTCTGAAAAGAAAAATTTAACAACAATGTTTTTTTCCATTAACACAGCATTAATGCTCTCTTGTGATGAATAAGGCCACTATACTGAGATGCTTTTAGGAGTGGTTCCTCACAATTATAATGAATACAAATATGTATCTATGAAATCTTGGATCCACAGCAAGTGACTGACTAATAGAACTATACAGGAAAGGTTTTGGTTGCTGCATACAGCCCACATAGATTGTATACCACAGGTTTTCAGCATAAAATAGGAGTATCCTTACCTGATAATGTAACATGAATGTTTCCATCTGAACACCCATGAATTTTGCTTTGACCTCAAAGTCTCCTACTTCTTCAGTTGGGTTGATTTCAAAGATCACGTTTTTAAACCTATGAAGGTTGGCAAATAAAAAATACATTTATTATTTAACATACCAGAATGGCAGTGGAGGGCAATATTAATGCAGGATCCTTGCAATGTAAGTATCCTGAAAAGAGATCTCAAGCTCAGCAGAGAGGGCGAGACAAAGGCAGAGCAGGAGGCAGCGGTACAAGACACTGCTTTCAGCAGGCCTGCTTCCTGCGAGAAAAAGACACTCAGATTCTAAGGCCACAAGGGACCATCCTTACCATTTGATATGACCTCTTGCATAATACAGAATATATGACATTCTTGAAATAATTCCTCTTTGATCTAGAGCAGATGATTTAGAAGAATATCCAATCTGGATTGTAAAATTGCCAATGATGGAGAATCTACCACAAATCTTGGTGAATTGTTCCAATGGTTAACTACCCTCATTCTGAAACCTTTATACTTTATTTTCAGTGTGAATTTGTCTAGCTACAGCTTTCACCCTTGGATCTTGTCATACCGTAGCCCGCTAGACCAAAGAGCTTATTCCCGAGGTAGGTACTTACTGTCTGAGTTCAAGTCACCCGTCAGCCTTCCTCTTAAGCTAAACAGATTGGTCTTTTTGAGTCTATCACTATACATGGCTTAATTTCCAACCTTTTAACTATTCTCATAGCTATTCTCTGGACTCTCTCCAATTAATCTTGAAGTCTGGACTCCAGAACTGGACACAACCTATTCCAATACTGGTTGCACCACTGCCAAATTCAGGTAACATAACCTCTTTACTCCTACTCGAGATTTCATGTGTATGCTTGTAAGGCAGTGGCTCTCAAACTGCAGTCTGCAGACTGCGGACTTACAGGTGAGTCATGGCTCAAGCCTCAGCACCCCATCCCCCGCTTCCTGCAGCCTTTTGCTGCAAGCTTGGAACACCATCACCAGCTTCCTGCTGCATGTGGGGGAAAGCCCCTCTCACGGGGAGCAAGCAGCTCCATGTGCTGCTGCTGCCGCTCCCCCCCTGCTAGGGGAACAGAAGCTCTGCCTCCAGGCGTTCCCTGCTGCTCCCACTGGTCAAAGAGCAGTGAAAGGGGGTGCCTGGGACACGGTACCTGGGAGTGGCGGGGTGGGGGGCATGAAGCCAGGTAAGCACCCCCCATACTCCTCATGGCCAAACCCTACACCCACATCTCCGTCACACACATTCCCCCGCTGAGACCCCACATCCCCAGCCAGACACTTTCTCCCTCGTGGCACTCACCTTTGCTCCTGCACCTGCCCTCTGGCCAAACACCCTGTCTCCATCCTGCTGCTGCCCCTTCCTTCCCCTCCCACCCCCAGCCCACTCCTGTACTCTCTCCCTCTTGGCCAGACCTTGCACCCTCATCCCTCCAGCACCCAAACTCCCAGCCCACTCTAGCACCCTATCTCCCACCCTCACTGCCTCCTGTGCACCCAGCCCTATCCCACTGCTTGGCATCTTTCTCATACACTGGACCTCTCATTTTTTGCCCCAACCCAGAGTCTAAGGTGGCTCACAAAATCTACTAACCCTGGGAGTTCACCTGGCCTGTGGGAAGCTCTGAAACAGGGTCCTCTTTGCCCCCTTTTCCCTTCCCTACGGGACCGGAGCACCAGAATAGTGAGGTATCTCAGTTGGAGGCCACATCTCTGAGGGTTAGGTTGGGTTTTGGGGGGGAGGGGGGAGTAGGAGGGGTGATTGCCTCTCACTTTTGTGGTCCCCAACTGATTTTTTTTGGATCAGTGGCCCTTGACCCAAAGAAAGCTTCCTTACTGCTGCCATAAAGAAAGACAATGTTGAAACCTTTAGTTTTGGACATGAATTAATATTTTTTTACTTTATTTTAAAATGAGATTTGGTAAACTGACATGATAAAGCTAAAGTGCCCAATCTGTTTATTTTGATTTTGATTAATAAAATTTCCTTTCTCACCAATCATACATGCCCCCTTATGTTATAGCTGCGTGTGTAAGTTTTTATGCTCCAGTATCCTAATGTGAATAATTTAGCATTTAAAATATTTATAGATAAGTGAAGGCATTTTATCAGAATGGCTGGTGGTCCACAGAACGGCCTGCATTGAGAGGGGTTGGCTGTGGGCCAAAAAGTTTGAGATCCACTTTTCTAAGGCCAGGATTACACTGGAGAAGAAAATTGATGCAAGATAATTAACTCCAACTACGTGAATTGTGTAGCTGGTCTAGGTACCCTGCATCGATTTTCTGGGGTTGCTCTATAGTGGGAGGTACACGGGAGAAACTCTAACCCTAACCCAGTAGTGGAGACAAGCCCTAAGTGATGCACTACTCTTTGGACCAGCGTCTTGCCCTAGGAGCTCATGCTCAGCTGATTATTCATCGTAATCCCAGCTCTCTCTCAGAGTCACTGATTTCCAGGATCATGCCCCTCTTGCTGTAAGTATGGCCTACAGTCTTTGTGCTTAATATTTAGCTGTATTAACACACGTCCTGTTTGCTTATACCCAGATTACCAAGCGACCCAGATAATTTTAAGTCAGTGTTCTCAACCTTTTTTTTTTTTTAAATAAAGTACCCCTTTAAAAAAAAATATAAGTACCCTCAGCCCCTGCTCTAACCTAATGCCCCATCCCTCTCCCAGAGCAAGGCACCGGACGTATGGTAACCCTCCCTTCGAAGTGCCCTCTCCTGCTGCCCGACCCTGCCTCGGCAGCTTGTCTGCAGGAAGCAAGTGGCCTGCCAGTGCTGGGCTCATTGTGTGGAGCTGTGCACTCCACTTCAGGCTGGCGCCCCCCTAGCATGGCATCCGAGGGCAACTGCCTCCACTCCTTGCTATACCATTGATGCGAGGGGAAGTCCTTTGGAGCAAAGCTTATTGTGCCGCTTCACCGCCTTTTAGCTCCTCTCCACAGCGCACGGGGATGGGGTGAGGGGGACGAGTTGTACTGAGCTGCTGGTGGGGGTGGGGGTAATGCGTGTCTCCAGGTTCAGCCGCCCTCCCCACGGGGAGGCTGCTGGAAAGGAAAGGAACTAGGAGGGGAGGCTGTGGAAGTGATTTTTTTTTCTCCTTGTCCAAACCCGCCCCACACTTGGAACTGCCCTGGGTCTCACCAGAACCGCCACAGC